GGCCCTGGGTCGAAGTGTGCCGTTAAGAGCCAGTTTATTAAGGGTTAATTATTTGTTTTAATTGTATCCAGTAACAATAGGGAACCTGAGTAGATTATCATTTTTGATGCGGTTTGCTGCTTGACAGGCCAAGGTAATCAGATTAATATCAATGGCTGTCTGAGTGCCACTTAGAGAGCACCATGTAAAGATAAGAGTTGTAAACTCCTGGATAAACAGATTCCATTGTTAAACTGTATTGTAATGATGTGTACAATTCTAAGAGATCAAGTGGCAGCCAGTGTAATGGACACAGTGATGAACCAGTCCCCGGGCCATGAAATGATATTGGAGCAATTCTAGGGATGTCCATGGCCCAATTTCTCTGTCTTCCACTGCTATGTAGCCTCTAAAAAGCACCCTAAATACTACTGTGTTACCAAAAAGAACTCGGTGGCTCTAGTGGTAGGGAAGAAATCTGCTACTGCATTCTGATAAAGACAAATAATAGTAACAAGTAAATATAAATGTTCGCATTGGGTGGCTGTACGTTCCTTGTAGAAGCCTAGGGAGGCATGATATTGGACCAGTTACCAAGGGGGTCTTATGTGACTGACCCCTCCAAAAATGGACTGGGTTCTTTGTAAGTAGCCCCCTCTGTCCATCCTGTGTGCTAATGGGGTGAGGGTAATGACACCTGGCAGGAGTTGTCTCAGTGGTCCCATCTATTGGGTCGAGGAATAAAAAGGCTTTTGATAGCTACAATAATCTAGCAAACATCTAGCAAACATAAAAACATATAGCAAATATATATATAGGGGACACATCATGCCTAATTCCCAGGCACCAAGTCACAAGGGGCAGGGGATCTCCAAAGTCCCTATTCTTAACATCATGCCCTCTCCTCTACTAGAGAACCCAAGGAAGTCCCTAGACATCTACCCAATGCATCTTCACACTGCCTTTCCAGACCCCAAATTAACTTACCATATAACTTCTTAAATAATTACACCTCTTACATGAACTTTAACAGGATTGGTAGACTTCCTCTGAAACCTTGGTAAAAATTCCTAAAGAGAATATCCACCATTGCTGGACCATTAAAACACCATCTCCTGTTTTGATGAAAATTCACATTTTAGTAAATAACCCCAAATGTTCCTGTTTCTCCTCCTCCAATGTAGTGAGAGTGCTCACTCTGAAAGGACTGAACTGGATTGTGACGTTAATTGATTCATATCGCAAATACAACTAGAAAAGCTACAATTTCTGGGGAAATTGTGTGAAGTGTTCTTGCCTCCACCAGTAGTCTACAACTGGAGTGGGTGGAGTAACTGGGTGGAGTGGCTTGAGTAACTGTTGTGTGGTTGGAGTTGCTGGAGTAACTGTGGAAAGGTTTGACTGGGCAGAGTAACTGTGTGGAGTGTTTGGAGTGAGTAAAGATAGTAAATATTACACTAACCAACTGATTTATCAAATTTAAAAAGTGCACATGGCAAGCTTGATAGAGTGAGAGATGCATTTCAACTTTTATTTATTTATATAGTACATTTAATTGCAACGTTGTTGCCCAAAATGCTTCACAGTTACATTAAAACATACATTTATTAAAACATTAGCAGGTGTACAAAAGGCCCTGTCTATGACATCACTTGCTGCTCCAGTCTGGCACAGGTCAGAGTATTTTGGCGGTTGCCATCTTCAAACGGTCGTATTTTAAGAACTATAAATCCTACAGCGAAGAGCTTTATATTGTGAGAATCAGACCTACATTTTAATGCATTGTATGTTTCTGAAATATTAACAATGAAGGCACAGTTGCAGTTTAGAAATTGCCCTTCAAATTTGAGCTGGCTAGAGTGGAGTTTCAATGAATGTCAATGGACGGTGTGAGTTGCAAACAAATGGTCATATTGTGAAAACTATCAGCACTATCGCTTAGCCGTGGACATTTGTAGTGGCAGCAGGGATAGCTGAACGTTTTGATATATGATTTGTGTAGGTAGGCTTGAAAATGAGGGAGTGGTGGCAGTTTAGAAATCATTTCCTGATTTTTCAGCTTTTGCCAGCTCCCACTCTAGTTTTGAAAATTTTGCCATTCATTCCTATGGGACCAATTTCGCCACAAGAACGACGATATTCCGTGAACCATTCGGCGAAACGCTCCACAAAATAATAGCACACCAATCGGGAACAATCTGCACGTTTCGGTATATTACTGTCTATGTAGTGTAAAAACTGTGGGAGGAGTTAGGGTGGTAAATTTGGTTATAATAATATATATGTGAGATAACATTAAGTGGTCTGCTATGCAAGAACACTTAATTAATAGAAAAGGGAACATAGCATGAAAAAGATTAACACAAATAAAAGGAAATTTCAATGTTATATTCAATGGTGTAATTCCCAGAGAAGTGATAGGTCCCCTTTAATTAATTATTCCTGGCCATAAACTAAATTTTTTATACTTGAAAAATATACAGATTGGTGGTAGTTCTAATGCTGCCAGGGTTCTAGAATCCTCTAAGTAACATGTAATCAAACAATTAACACTTCTCCCCCGAGAGCCTAGCCTATAGATATGCGAAGTGTCTACATGTTTGGAGATCCTGCACACACTGACATTAATAGCTATTTAGGGACGATGCACAGATCACTATACACTTGCTAAGTGAGCCCTTAGAATGTGAATTGTCCTGCTTCTACACAGGATGTATCAAACACTTGTGACTGGTTAGCAAATCTCTGTTTAAACACTTGTCCTCACTATTTATTGTGTACATTCTAATCAGTGCTTTGATGTGATTGCAGCTAGCTGGTGGAATATTCACTTTTACAGCCCTCACAGTCAGATTTGCTCCCATTGTTGTCTGCTATTCGATTGATCTATCATGATAGCCTGACTTGGTTATTGTAATAGATTGTGCAAGGTATCAGACAAACTAGATAAAAAAAAAAAGAAAGATTAAAAAAAAAAAACTATAACTACAATAAATGTTGATTGTATAATGCAGCAGGAAATCTGATTAAGAGTGTCGATGTGACGTTTTATATAATATTATTATTACTGGTGTTTATAAAGTGCCAACATATCCCACAGCGCTGTACAGTTGGGGAAAATAGACAGTACAGAAAAAGATAAAATTTAAAGAATAGAGCACCTTGCTCGAGAGCGGAGATCTAACATTTAGTTAAAAATTAGAGAGTTCAGAGGTTAGTGCTCTGTCAAAGATATGGCAGGTACCATTTAAAACTGCATGTGTGGTTCGCAGGAGGGTAAATTTAGCCTTTTAGCTGTCCAGGTTAAGATAAGTACCATTGAGTTGGGTAATAATGAAATATTTGGCTGCAGCATGCATCTAAAACGGGTTTCCCTGTGACTTAAAGGGTTACCTCAAGCATCATGGTAAAGCTTTAGTGATTTGAAGTGGTCATGGTGCCTGGAGTTTATATGTGCAGCTTTTTGATTTGAAACGCTGCACATACAGAGATTAACCCCTTAGCTGCCTAAGGTGTAACCCCCACCTCTCGCAGCCTCATAGAGGTGTCATCAACCAACCTGGAGTTACAACTCGCCAGTCGTTGGTAAAGATCGGTCAGCTGACTCTCTCATCCAATGAACGTTTACACGTAGCTGTCTGTTACTCTGCAGCTTTGTACCTCCAGGGAGCAACAGACAAGGGGAATAAACAGCTGCATTAGCATGAAACGAGCTCTCCGAGGACAGCAGAGGCTGGCACGCTCATTATACCTGGTTTTACATTGTGAGTCTCTCAGTGACTCAGCTGAATAAGGGAAAATTCACTGACCGCAGGCTGAACATGTTAAAAACGGCAAGAGATTTGTGATTAGAATCTCAGTCGTATCCCTGATAATGAAACAAACAAAGATTTCCAAAGAATAATTGTGAACGTTGCTAAAGGGCGCATGTCATCTTTTCTGGATTGTGTCATCTTCATGAACCCAATGGATGATGAGTAAAACATTTTGTTTTAGAATATTTCCATAATCAATCAGCGTCATTTACTAAACTAGGAACTAGGAGAAAGTTCACAAGGATATTGCATAATTTAAGGTTAAGTTACAAAATAGGAAAAGCCCCTGTGATTGGTTAATTTCCTAGTCCCATTAAGGTCATTAGGGTTATTCTATAAAGCAGGGTTGCTTAAAAGGTAGATCTGAAGGACTACAACTCCCATGGTGCTTTACATACCGTTAGAATTCATTCAGAATGGCAAAGCATCATGGAAGCTGTAGTTTTAAACATCTGGGGATCTACCTTTTGGGCACCCCTGCTCTAAAATGAGAATTGAAAGTATATATCAAGAAGAGCGGAATTAAAAGCACAGCAGACTTAGAGAACGTTTCCAGTTGAGGTAGTTTGAACTTAAATCTGAAATTCACTTAGAATTCTCACTTAATTAAATAAACGTGGATTTGATGTTACTATTCCACACACAGAAGGCTACCGTGAGTTTTTTTTCCCGTATGACCGGTCTAGGTCAGCCTTGCTTAGATACATAAATATTCTGAAGTTGATAAAAAAAGTATTTGAAATGCTTAAACCAATGATAGTTCTCCTTATTACAAGGTAGAGATGTCGCGAACCGTTCGCGAACTTCCCGCGAACGGCTCGCCGCGGTTCGCCACGAACCGTTTGCGGCGAGCTCCGGTCAGCTGACACATCCCGGCCAATCTCCAAAGCTGCCTTCAACATGGATGCTGTCCAGGAGGTGTGAGGGTCTGGGAGGGAGGGTCTGCTGGAGATTGGCCGGGATGTGTCAGCTGACCGGAGCTCGCCGCGAACGGGAAGTTCGCGAACGGTTTGCGACATCTCTATTACAAGGTATTGTCATCACTTAAGGACGCTATAAACACCAAAACCACATTGGCTTTATGTATAGATCATGCCCCTGCCGTCTCATTGCTCAGTTTACTGCCATTTAGGAGTTAAATCACTTAGTTTATGGGAATTATTCACTAAACTTGGATTTGTGGATAATTGAAAATAGAATTGCGAATTTAACAAGGAATATTTTTTATTATATCATTTTGCACTTTACAGCTGGAACTTTGGGAATTCAAAAACCACATCTTTGCCTGTGATTGTCTTCTTGTAGACACCAGACAATGTTTCAACCTTGTGTTCTGTTGTGCTTTTTCCAAATGGACCTTGATAAGCCGGCTGCCGTCCAATATTACACGGATTCTCTTGCCCACAATTTCACTTGGGAACACCAGATCTTCTAAGATGGCATCATGTACAGCAGTCAAGGTGCTACTTCTGGGGCGCTTCTGCTTGTTTTTCGTGCAACTTTTTCTGGTTGGCTTAGGCAGAATACTTCTCTGAGCAATGAAGACCACATGTTTGCCACTGAACTTCTTTTCCAGTTCACGCACCAGTCTCACTTGAATCTTCTGAAAAGACTTCAGCTGAGGCAGTGGAACAAAGATTATAATGGCTTTTCTTCCATCACCAACTTTAATTTTCTTTGCTGCTGTCATGTTTAGTTCCCTTAATTGAGCTTTAAGGTCAGAGTTCATCTCCAACTCCAAGAGAGCCTGGGAGATGCCGACTCAAACCTCTCAGACTTTTCGCCATTAGGATTCACGATTTTGGCACTTGTACTGAAAATGGCCTTTCGTCCTCTCTCAGTGACGGCCTAGGAAGAGCAGAATTGCGAATTTAAGGTCAAACTAGCCAAACATTTACCGGCCAAGACACAAGTCACCAGTCTTGTGTGACATTTAATTTTCTCTCAGTTCTCCCGATTACCCAACAGAATGGCTCTGTTGCCTGGTTTTAGGTGTGCTCGCCGTATGGGAAGCTCTGAATGACTCTTGGACATCCTGGCACCCAGGTATGCATGCAGTTGGAATGACAATCCCAAAGAAGTTAGTTTCCTGTTGTGGCCATCCGCAAATCCCTTATCAGTCCTCCTTAATTCCCACTTAAACGAATAAACCTGATATGAGTTTTCTTCCTTCAAGATGTTCTACAATTTTACAACTTTCTTGGACTAAATATGGATTTAGATTTACATTCCTAAAGGGGCGCTGTGGGCAACATGGCCTCTTCAAATAATTGTGTGGGCATGGGGTCCCACATCAATTTTACACATTTTACTCAACATTTAGCAGGGACCCTAGCAGCCTGCATCCTGACCCCAGATTATGTTATGGCATAACGCAGAGCATAACTCCGCTTTTGTCATCATTCAGGGCCGGCTACGGGCTGCCACAAATTCAGCATCCCTGAAAAACAGTGGGTAAACTAGTTAACATTAATATGGCATCTGGGGCTTACAGAATACAGGCACCATAATTATTTAAAGCCATTGAAGTGGTTATGGTTCCTACAGTGTCACTTTAATTTAACATGGGCAGCATGTTTAAATAAACAAACAAACAAACAAATAAATAAATACATGAATAAATAAATAAATACACAGCCCCTTCCCCCTAATCTTGACTTTTACTGCTGCTAAACACAAGGCTGGCTGTTACAATGTAGGTGTTATAGAGTCTGATACAATGTAGCGAGTTGGGCTGATATAACCGCTAGGTGGCAGTGCAACCCTGCATTCCATTAATATAAAGCCATAGGTAACTAGCCAGCGGAAATGAGATCACTGCTTGTGTACTGAACACACCTTAATCACCTGGGCAGGCTAGGAGGCAGACAGACAGAGCTCGGCAAGCAGTGAGGGGGAGAGCAGCTGATCTACAGCCAGGGCTTACAGGCAGAGCAAAACTTCAGTGTTTGGGCTGCAGAGCTTGCAATCAAGGATCCAGGGAGAGCAGAGGGACACCCTGCAGAGGAGCAGGCACAGCTGGCAGAGCAGGGGGTCGGCAGCACTGGGCACAGCTGGCAGTGCAGTGGGCACAGCTGGCAGTGCAGGGGGTCAGCACCATGGAGAAGGAGGTGGTCTCCCCCTGGGACATGGGTCTGCTAAGGACCTTTGACTCCTGTGAGTTCTGTGGATGGGAAAAGGTGGGATCTGGAGGCTTTGGACAAGTTTACAAAGTGAAACATATCTCCTGGAAAACGTGGCTGGCCATCAAGTGCCCCCCTAGCCTGCATGTGGATGAGAAGTAAGTTGACTGAGCATGTATCCAGCCTGGGGATATGGGGTATATCTGCTAAATAGTGATTGGAAGTGATCTGAGAGCAGGGATAACCAAAAGGCAGCTTCAACCCAGCTTAGAAGGCATTGGTCTTCAACAGCTGGGGATACTTGTTGCACCCCCTCTGTATTAGAGCCCACCCAACAAAATGAAATTCAAAAATGTCAAATATAAATTATCCCTAGAAATGTAGGGTGTGTGTGTGTGTGTGTGTGTGTGAACACATGTGGTATATTTACATGTATACATTTTTCATAAATCATTAAATAGCTGTATTGTTTGCTTTAAGATTGTTTATAATTAATATTTATTTATAAAATATTTGACCAGGAAAGATACATTGAGATTTCTCCTTGTTTTCTCTCGACTCCCCCCACCCCGGTCATACTGTTTACATATGCGTTTCTGTATATATGTGTTTGATCTGCCATTGATCACCATATCCCCATTCTGGCTCTGCAATGTTTTAGTGTTGTGGGTGCAGGCCGCAGTCAGGAGAACACAGAATTATAGTTTAAGGCTATCCGCACCTTTTCAGTGAGTTGAAAACTGCAGAACTTACACTGAAATAACTCAGGTGTATCTACGGCTGTGTTGGACAATTTTTCAAATCTGCTATTTTTTTACCTAGATTTGTCAATTCAGATTTCAGTGTTTATTGAATAAGCCCTTCCAGTGTCTGTTTTGGGGCCTTAATAGTGCTTGATTAGTTATAGCGGTATGGAAGACCTTATTTATTTTTTGGCAACAGTTGACCTGCACTTTGCCCATGTGACATTTCATCCACTAAAGTTGCACTTGGGTCTAGTAGTGGTGGAGTTGCCCTTGTGAGCAATGTGCAGACAAGTAACTAGATCATTTTCGCTGATGCTCCACAAATCGCCTTATGTTTTTATTTTGTGTGTGTGTGTGTCTCTTATTTAGCTAAGTTTCCAGTTTGGCTACTTTTGTCTAAGATTGTAAAATTCACTTTTAACTTTTAACTTCAGTGAATAACACTGATTGTGATCATGTTTCTCAGTTTTAGTGGCAGTTCTAGTCTCAGGGAGAATACTATTTTTACAATAAAATACACACTTGGAAAAGCTGTATGTGTTTTCAAAATGTTGTTGTGCATCTTTCAGATTATGGTCCATTTAACAGGAAGCTGGGATCCACACATTACTCCGCAGGTTTTTTTAACGTGTTGGCAAGAACCTTCCTGAGTATTTTAGATTGTAAACTCTTGTGAGTCTGGTGATCTGCTCTTCGTGGTCCTTTATGTTTAATCTTGTAACAAACTCAGTTTTCTCCATATATATTCGCTTTGGCACAGAACTGAGAGGAAACGTTACAAATTTAGAGTAACAGCTTAGTGAATACTTCCACTCTTATTTTGACAATTTAGTGGCATATTTTAAATGTCATTTGCTTATTATTATTATTATTATTATTATTATTATTATTATTATATATTTTTTTTTATGCACAATGGCTTTAAACATATTTAAATTTTCTTGATTGCTTAGATGCATAACCCCACCAACATTGGCCTCACATGTAGAGGGATGCGCTGATGGGTGGAGTGAAAGGGGGTGGGCCAGAGACATAAATCATGTGGGACAGGACTCTAAAGTCAGGAGGACTAGAGATGGCATTGCTAAATTTAAAACCCGTTTATCGTTGGCACATGTTCTGTGAATGAGAGTGTTTGTTTGTTTGTTTGTTTGTTTGTTTGTTTGACAGTCTGTCTAGATATCTTACTACTCTTTATTGCCAGGCACCCTCTCCCCCCCCCTTTCTCACTCAACAAAGTGCTAATTCCTCCACGGCGACATCATTCACAGATCTGTTATTTTTCTCTGTCCAGGTTGAACATCTATTTAGTTTTACTTTTGTTAGGAAACGTTTGGATTACTGGTAAATTTGCAAACCTGATGGCTTATCTCTTCTTAGCTCGTTACAGAATTTGATTATTTTCTGTCTTCTAAACTTGTGTAATCTTTAACACAGGAACCCCAAAAGTCCACAATACAGTCTGACGAGCTTAACCACATGAATGCTATATAGTGAGGCCCTTCTGTCAATAATGGCCTTATCATGAAGTGTGCATATGAAACTGATATCACAACAAAGAATGTGATAACCAAATATCTTCTGTTGGCCATGACTCTCTCCCAGTGTTAACGTGTCCACTGTCTCTGTCAGATCCTTTCTAAGACGCAGGCAAATTACACAATATACTTATTATGAGGTATTCTGTAGTGTCAATTACTGCAACAAGTGTCCCACATGCAGGGATTGTACACCGATTATTCTGTTATTTATTTTTTCCAGTATGCGAATTAACCAGGCCACAATGTTTTGGGATCTGACGTCCCTTTTTTATCCCCTTCTATGAATTGGTTACAGTAGAGAATGCTTGGTCAGTATTGCAAACCACATACTCCCAGCTTTGTGCACAGTTATTGTCTTGCTGCTGTAGGTTTGGGGGGGGGGGTACCACAGCTGTCCAGAAGCATTATTTTTGCCTCTGTTATGCGCAGAACACAAACAAAAGGCTACAAACAAATAGCAATCCATTTCTCTCTCCTTTTGTTATTTTAAACCTCTGAGGTGCTACCTGCTGATTTTCACCCATTGAAGTGCGTTCTGAAAGGAAATTCCTTTAAATGCAGATACATTGTTTTGGTGTTGGAGACATTTTATAAATATATGGAAGCAGTCACCCCTTTTCATTACAGTTTATCTGCTTTTAATGCTTTCCATCACTTTACAAATACTCCCCTTTCCTCAATCACAAAGGATGGAGCATGCTGTGCTCGAAATCTGTGCATGTTTTGTTTTCAGATATTGGCAAATCATATTAGTTTAATTAAATGCTTACAGACTGCTTCTGCATAATTTTACTTGACAAGAGCATCATGTGATAATGGCACAATGTATTTATCAAGAATATGCAAAAGAAGCAATCTATATTTACCAAGCCATAAATCCATTTAGCTGGAATTCCCACTCCACACAAGATCTGTTGCATGGTTAATTATTGTGGAATTGCCAGGAATTCAAAGTGAATGTAAAATTACAGTAAATTAGCAGAGCTGCAAAAATCATGCGCACACACACACTTCTTTACCAGTTTCCAGTTTGGCTATTTTATCTACAATTTGAATCCATGACTTTTCTCACTTTACTAAAAAAAAAACCCTGCTAGTATTTCAGCATGGAGGCGGCCATCTTGGAATGACATCACAAATATCAATCCTTGGTAAACATTACTAATAAAAAAGAGACTGTAGAGGTCATGAAATTTAAGCAGCCAATCAGTCTGTGACTTGGAGAGCAATTACAAACGCTCAACTATGAATGAAAGCGTTCTTTGAACTCTCTGGTTCTCTCGGCCCAAAATTGCCAAAGTTGGGTGTCTGTGTTGTTGTTGGTTTTTTTTCTTTTTCAAATTCACAAAATCCCAGGAAAACCTATGTAAAAACGAGGTACGGGTCATTAACAAATGATGCGGAGACTGTTGGTAATTATTCTGAGGGTATTTTTGATGGCGTGTAAAA